AAAATGACAGACCCAAATAAGATCAGTAATCTAGAAAAGCGCTTGGCTATTGTAATCCATGCGTTAACACGCATAAGGGTGTGATGTAACCACTTTACTTAAGTCCGGTATAGCTAGGTAGGGAGAGTGGGAGATCGATTACGATATCTTTGTGCATCGAATCAACACGTAACACATGTAACAGAAATGACGCAACATCTATGCCAGATATATAGAAAATTTTAAGATCAATCAAATCAAATCAAATAAGGTGACAGAACTATAAAACTCAGATATCAAAACTGGTGTGATTACATTGAAATAATTATGAGCAATAATCTGTGCTGGAAACATCATCAAGTAAGTAATATTGTACCATTGTGTTATAAATCAAATTCTACTGCAGTGCCCTTGTTTACGCTTATATCGTGAATACGTACTATTATTATCGCTTATTCTGAGCTTTATTGGCGGATCGCTGAAGCATCTGACTGACACCATAGATTTTCACATAAATTCACCCTTGAAATCTGAGAAAAGAATACTGATTAATGCACTAAAATACCAATTATGCTTACTTCTTTTTAGCGAGAATGCAGATGCATTACTATTTTGTAATATGTATATACTCAGTGATTAAGATAAGCTTGGTAAAGAAGCACTGCATCTCAATGAATTTGCTATCAAATGTAGCAAAGTATTGTCCTATTTAGAAGTTAATCAATTAGAGTGATAAATGACCTGATCAATACTCATTAAATTATGAAATCAAAGGAGGCAGCTCAAGAGGTCTGAAGTCGGATGCAGTAAGTATTGGAACAAGTATTTTATGAGATGAAACTAAAGATCAAAATTACTTAGACTCAAGGATTGACGTTTGCATAAGATGGTTGTAAATCTGACAAATAAGAGTCGTAATGAGCTTTATGGTGTAATCTGTTGAAGACTCTGATGAAAACAGATTTACCATAATGTTTGCATGCAAAATCGAAGTACTAACATGAAAATCATTTACCTGGAACCTAGTGAATGATGCTGTTCTCACTCAGACTCGAGTCCAGCACCCAATGCTTCAAACTCCAAAGCGCTACCTACTAGGCTACTGGGGCATGAAATCACCTCTTGTGCAACCGGGTATATTTATTATTAAGTACTGGTACTTTCAATTCTCCTTTGTTATTCCGAATCAAATTGATAGGCATCTTTTCGAATATGGTCCTATGTTGACAATTTCCGTCTGGTGTAGTGGATGACCAATTACAAATCTTATCTGAAGTCCTCAGCTATGAATAATTCATGCTTCTTGAAGGGCGCTAAATGAGTTACCGTTTTAATCAATCGAATTCATCGAATTGCCAAACTACTGTCCAATCAGTACGACAAGACTAGGCTAGGCAAACAGCGTAGTTATTGTCAACATGCAGTTGCACATTACGCTGTTATATGACAGTCGATAGAAACACCCAGTGAAAAAAGTGAGTTTTAAAAAGTTAGAAGGTAGGTCTCGTAGATGACCTGGTAGAATACTGCAACTGTAATTGGGAGACCTGGGGTTCGAGTCCTGCCACTCTCCAGATTTTGATTTGAAATACAGTTGTCACTTCTTATCAGTAATAACACTGCAGAAGCCCAGCTATCCCATATATTGTCATTTACAGTCCTTTTTAGTGGTAAGCCATTTACTGTCTACATAACCTCAGAATCCTTTCGATTCTTAAGCTGATGATTTGATAAACACTGAAATGTCGCTTCAAAAAGCTTCTGAAGCCCATGAATGACCCTGATGTCTTTATTGGGTGGAGAAAATTGTTTTATTTAAAACAACCTGACCTTTAGGAATTTTACTATACGTTTATAGGTGATTAACCCAATTCAAACCCCAGATATATATATCAGGCGAGAGCTTTTCACTCATCACTCATGATTTTGAAATCGTGCATAACTTTGACTACTTTGAAAATCACTTTACACCATTTTTAGTACTCATAAGCTGGGACCTACTGAAAAAAAGAATTGCTACAGCCAGATTACAAGTTGTAGATGAAAAAATAACTGAAATACACAGAGTAGTAAGAAGATTGTTAAGCATGAATCGTGTTTGAAAATCCCATCTTAAACTTCCTCAATCGTGCTTACTCACCACTCCATGAGGGATCTAGTCGAGGAGAGTTTGGCACCATTCAGCTGCTTGACTGGATTTAAGGGTTCACATATTTCTAGCTATCTCATTTCGGGATAAAAGTCAGCTGCTATTCAACTTTACAGTCTGGCATTCACGTCACTGCTAACATAGTCGACCTCATCGGTTACAACTGCTCATTAAAACTTCGTAAAAACTTAAGACGAAACATGTCGTGAACGGTCACTAGGCGGTACTTTAGTTGATGGTTTGCAGAGGTGGATTGCTTTGAAGATAGTTTTCATCATGAATAGACGTCAGTTGGAGAACCATTGGAAAGCTGGGAGCACTTTAAAATAAATAAATAAGTAAATAAATATTTTATTCTCAAATTAAGAGTTTAACATAAGAGAAGCCAGTTTACAGGCATCATCAAATAATAGTGGTAAAGAAATCTCCACTAGGTAAGCTGTTTTGAATGATAAAGAAGGTATCGCATCACGGTTTATCAAGATAATAAAAGTGACTACAGATTATGAAAAGAAACAGAAAAATATCACTTCACAGTACATTCAGATTGTTTATGAGTTTCGGTTGTCTCTACTCACCATTCTTTTTACACTATAAAGTGATACAAAAATCGTACAATGTTTGACGTTTGCGTTACATGTGACGTAGATGGTTAACCTGGCTGTGTAGTTCCGTGTTTCAACAGATAAACGTTCATTTTGACATCAGTTCACATGTTTATAGCATCGCTGGCCAACGAAAACTCTCTTCATCGAGTTCAGGCAACAGTAAGTGATAGCATAACCATATAATCTGCGTGAGTATATAAATCCTCGCCTTTCCCACTCGTAGTGTGACCTTACTCAGCAATACAGACGTAATCCATCAGAATTAGTTGTTACTGTACAAAGAAATAAACATCTGAAGGAATATTATCGAATGGTGATGGAGTTTTGCACATAAAATTCACATTGAAGCATAAAGCATTATCAAGCAGGTATGTTGACTATTGTCTTCTATAAAACGGAGTCAAATGAAGTGATGTACTGGAAAAGTTTGCTTGCGAACTTGTCTCACTTTGAGTCACTAGGTGAGTTTATTTCTAAGGTTTAGTTATTTGTCCAGATTTTCTCTGCCATCATGACCGTCCAGAAGCGTTAGACCATTTATTGTACTTGGGTTTTCGTACATGGTTGCATCTAGGCTGTTGGTAACTGGATGAGCTTGCTGTGGAACGTTTCAGAAAGTTGAAAATCAATAGGAGAAGACCAGTTGAAGGATTCTTCCAATAATTTCTGGCATCAAGTATGAAAATTTGTATTCACTAAGTTGATAATTTTGGTCAAAATTATGCTTAAGGTTTTCTCTTCAAACTTCAGCTTAAAAGAAAAGGAGAAAAGGATTCCCTAGAAGTGTACAACCCGGACTGTGCAAGACATTGAGTTGATAACCGTCAAGTCTGGCAGTGAGCACTTTGTCATTCAGTCACTTGGTTGAAAAGTAATGGTTCACTAACTCCTGCTTCCGTTAACCAGTAATATACCCACTTGTGAAATGTTTCCTGGCTTTTAATGAGTCTGTGATATTATATAAGCTTTGTGATAGACCAGTTCATCAGTCACTCAGCAATTAGTTCGGGGACGAGTAATCCTATTGTTTATGTATATGAATCCAAATGGATATATAGTTATCCAATTTTTACCTAAATGTTTCATATGTGCTCAAAAGATAAATATTTTCAATTATAAATAGATGGTTCCTCAACATATTCCCATATTTTCCTAATTTATAGTCTCATCATAGAGCTTATAAGCGATGCTTAAGGAAGAGTTTGAAAGTTGTCTTCAGGCTTGTTTTGTCCCCAACTTTCATTAATTTGAAATAATCAGTGTGGAGATCTACTGCACTCAGCACAAAGAAAGAGATCCAAATTTTCAACACCAACCAGTCAAGTCAGTGCTGCTATATGGTTCAGAAACTTGATGCGTCAGGAAAAGCATTCTCAACAAACTACAGACATTCATCAACAGTTGTCTACGCTCGATACTGAAGATCAGATGGCCAGAATAATAAGAACAAGCAACAAGAAACTCGGAGAAGGAAGCAACCAAGAACCTATCACCCAATAAATATGTAGCAGAAGAAAATGGAGATGGATTGGGCATACACTGAGAAGGCCAGTAGGGGACATCACGTGCCTTGCTAGGTCGTTGAGTGGAACCCAAATAGTAAACGACGAGTTGGGTGTCCGTGCCGTGGGTGACATAGAGGAGATGGTGTGAGGAAGGAATATCTGTTTATTATCATTCGTTTCCTGGGTCATGGATGTGAACTGGTAAGGAGTCCTACACACAAACGAATCGGCTGGTGTGCAATCGTCCTCCAAATGATGTCAGTCAGTTTGTGATCAATACCAAAATATTTTATGTATCAGAGGAACAGCCATATACTTTTTACAAAGATCTTCGGGTTTTCTATTACTAGGAAAAATTAATCAGTTTATAAAGAATGGCACTAGATATTAATTAAGATTGAGAAAAATATTTGAAACAAAATTGAGATGCATGATACGTATTGGTCGATTAATATTATCCAATAAATATTAGTTTCGTTAATATTAGTCAACCAATTAGAATATACCTTCTACTCTGATTATTCACTTAAACACTTTTAAACGCCTATCAGCAAGTGGTTTTTATGCATTTTTAATAATCATCACAAAGATCTCAACAACTAATTCGTTTTTCTATTTAATTAAAAAATAAAAAAAGTATATAAAGCCTGATAGAGGATATTTTTCCCCTTGAAAAGATAAGAACTTAAGTGATATCATTTAAGTATTTACAGTATATACTAGTTAAGGTGGAGATTATTCACTCTATACAATAGCATAATGATTTATAATCATCATATTACTTCAATGAAATTTCATAATCATTACTTACTTTTAACATTTTATATACTATGGACTATATTTAATGTGAATGCTGATGTACCAGAAGATTCATTGCTTACTATAGATTTTCCATGTGGTCAACATCCAATTGATATGTTTCTATCAAGATTATTTGATTATTTAGAAAAACAAGAAATAAATACTGATAATTCATTATCTAAACTTGATGAAATATTAAAAATTAAAATGAATTATGCTAAACTTTTATATGCATTTACACCAATGCCTAAAAGTAGTTATTATGTTTATAATGAAATTATGCGATTAATTAATGATTGGAATGAATGTATGAATAAAGAATTACGCTTAAAAAAATCATTTAAACATGGAAAATTTCTTCAAAATATTAATACAATATTATCACCTAAATCACAATTAATATAATTGCAAAAAAAATTTCAATTATTACCAATTATAATGTGAACACACACTTACTGTTTACCCTATTCAATTATTACCTTTTAATTTATTTCTTATATATTCTTGTCTGTTTGTTTATTTTTCTTGTATGACTATTAATGAAAGGAAATTTTATTTGTATGCATAATTTTTAATGTTTATTTTCTTTAGTCTATCATTTCTTTATACTAATTTTATTTGTTAACTATATAAGTTTCGTCTAAAACTTATCTTCTTCATTTGTTTTTTTGTTGTTGAACATTTTTAGTAATTTTGTGTTATTCATGTCAAAATGTAGGCACATCTTATATTTTTAATTATCCTTCTTTTTTCTCTTTTTTTTTTGTTTTTCTTTATGAATGTTAAACACCTTTATTGATAAACTTTCACTCTTTTTTTTTTTCATTCTTCTCTTTTACACTAAGGGAATGCTTACATTTTTAACTTCACAATTATAATAATTATGATAATGAAGAAATAAGTAAGTGTAACTGTTGATTATGTTATTGTTTGCATTTTGTCAACAACTGAAGAACTGAGTCCATTAAATGAACTGCAAAAAAAAAAAGTATTCATAAATATAATCTGTGGAATAAAAACATCAATGAAAAAATAGTTATAATATAGATGTTGGCATAATGACCATATTAGTCTTTGTTTTGTATTGTATACGACTTTGTATGCATGTCTGCATGTATGTGCATGTTTACGACTCTAAAATGCTGCTAATATATCTGTCAGTATTAAATATGATGCAGTATATAGTACGGTCTTCACAATACATCAGTTTTACGAGTAAGTGTATGTTTATAAGCTTTATAAGGGTTTAAACCACTTTTCCACTGATTTTATGCACTACCAAGTTAATTAGTCAACAGTCTATGGTCTATTGCAGAAACTAATATGTTTAAACTATTCTTGTAAAGCATTTAAGCACTAAAATATGCATACACAAAAAAGAATACTAAATTTAGTCATACTTGCGGTTGTTAACAGTTCTTATTTCACTTCAATCACGAAGGATTTTGCTCAACTAGTATATGAATTTGTGACGCGTAGAATATCGGGCTAAAAGGTCGGTGATCACTGATTTGAACCCCGAAGCGATTCAAGTTTTTATTTGACCTTCAATCAGCACCCAGTATTAATACTAGTCTACCAAACCACTGCTCAAATAGTCAAAAATGATAATCAGTACGATCCTCCCCCTCTCACTAATTCAGTTAGATTTGGATTGAGATGAAAAATCTTGACCAAGTGGCCAGTGTGAACTTGATCAAGCTGTAGAAATGCATCAATAATTCACATGGTAGTCAGATAAAATCCCGCTTATGATTCAAATGAAATAAAACACCGTCAGCAGTTGGACCTCGAAGCTCAGTTGGTAGAACATCAGACTGGAAACCCAGAAGTTGCTGGTTCGAATGCCGCCGTAATTCAAGCTTTCATTTCACCTTCAATTATCACCTAATATCAATACTAGTCTGCTAAACTGCGGCAATCTCAGACAGTCAAAAATGTTAACAATTTCCCCAGTTATAAACACTTCAGAAGCATGTTTTATCTTTCTTAAGTCATAATATTTTATTTATGAACTATTAGGAAGGTAAAATATACATAGTCTGTGCTTGTGTAAGTTATAGCATGTTTGAAATAATCTCAAAGTTTTTTCACAGAAGTTTGGTCCCAGCTTCTTGAAGGAAATAAAAAGTTTGGACCAGATTTCTGTGCGAAATCCTAGAATTATTTTATTTCAAACAGTCTGTGACTTACAAGAATCTACACTATACCTGATGTCAAATGTACAAACTCATTGCTTAGAATTTAAGATATTAATGGGCAAAAACTTGATCATAATTCATCTCAACGACACCTTAGAAAGATGTCAGCAGTACAACAGACGATTACCTCACTCTATTGATATGATAATTAAAATTTTCAATTTTCGCACATTCTTCATTGAAGTCTACATTTTCTGATAGTTATTTCTTCAAACTTTTACAACTACAGATGTCAAGTCACATCCTTTTAAATAAGAAGTAATAGTTTTTCAAGAAAAATATCCTCTTAGTAGGAAATTCATAGCAATGATATGAAATTCGACACTATTTATCAAATCGTTATTAAAAGGAAAAGTACGTCAGTGATTTTATTCTCGAAGCTGTTATCGTTTGTTAGTTAAAAGCAATTTTTGCCAAACATCACTAAAATACTGATGTCAATGCATGAGCCATGAAAACTAATCAAAGTATGACTGCAGTTGCATAATGATTACTTAGGTTAGTTAAGAGGTTTCATAACTTCATAAAATATTCAGAAACTGAAATCTTATCAGTAAGGCAAAGTAAGAACGACTTGTAAAATTTATCCTTTGAATCATCCGAAATGTAATCAGTGTGTGTAGGTGATTACACATAGGTATAGGTAAGTTTTACGATCCTATTTAGTTCCTACAGATTCGTTCAGTGGGACGGCACACAAAAGGTTGTTGACATGCAGAATATATTCACGGCTCGAGATTCCAGAGTTATGACAAGTGATACATAATATCCTATTTACCATAGGCTATGGATGCTAAATGCTCCAATATAAAACCCATACCTCTGTCTTTGGAGACTGGAAATGGTGTCTCAATAGTCTTGATCGTTGGCAGAGGTAACAGAGTGAAAGGTTGAAGAAGTTATGAGAGACTGAGGTAAGGAGCATAGACTGTTTGATTGGTCCTTTTATACCACTGGAAGCATGCGGGAGGCTGACACTTCCCTGCTGCCCATACCGTAAACTGTTTTTGCAGAGTGCATCGAAGATGGTTAGCGTACACAGGAAAAAGTGATTTATAAGACTGAAAATTAATACCATGAAAGAATTTCCTTTGCTTTTATTCATATAGATAGATCCCAAAAGTTTCTGTGATACAGAGAATAAAAAGACACAAAGCCATTGATAGGTTTCTTTCTCACTTTATAAGTGGCTTAGAATGAAGAGAATTTTAGGATGGGGTTAGCTCGTGTTCACGACATGTTAAACTATGATACATTGTATTGAGATACTCATAAGCAATTTATATATGTCCAACCATTACATTTTTTGGTTTAAATGACAGCTCATTTGTTTACACTATTTTTGTTGCCATGCTTGACAAATCACTTCTAAAATTTATGATTGTTCAGTTTCGCAAATGAAACCACCTGAAGGAGACTGTCTCCCGAAATGTCTATTGTTCTGTCATGTCAATGGATATCGTCTGCACACTCTACCATTAGCTAAGGTCACTTAGAATGAGTATGTCAAGATACATTTCCAACTTACTAGAAGTGTTTTAACCATTAAAATATAATTTTTTTTAATGCTTTTAATACAGTCAGGTGATAAAATTATGCAGTCAGTAGAGTAAATCTTCGCAGTTTCTGGTGGATATGGCAATTAGTATTAAAATACATACATTCATAATATGCTGACAGAAATAGATTACACCCAAACTTTTGTCAAGAGATACATGGCGAAATGAGTAAGAAATTTGAACAAAAGATTGCTGAAAAGAAATCGTTATTTATGAAGTCCCAATTTGAAGGGAATGCACTTAGTGAATTTCTATTCTTGAGGCTGTCTACAGCCATTAGAAGAGCTTTCCGTCCTGTTAACCTTTTGCTTATCATTTTCTCGTCGACCGATAGCTGTTAATCGGCCAAAAGGTAAACTATTCAGTTTATCACTTCTATGTGAATTTATCAATTTGATTACTCCTGCGCAGAAAGCTATCTTCAGCGTAACTCTTGGAAGCTTAACAAACGTGTTGCTTAGCGCCTACCGTTGTTGGTAAGAATAAGACAAGTGATTGCCAGTAAGAAGTACAACTATATCACATTTGGTCGATAGTGGCCATGTTATAGATAAGACCAGAGTATTCAAAATCATTTAACGCATCCTACAGTCTTTCCACTGGAATTTCTATTCATATATTACCTATAGCTATCATAATTCTAGAAAGCTGACTTGAGTTTTGTTTACAGAAAAATTCTGTACAACCCTTATTTCCCCCTCGACCAGAGGAAAATTATTAACTGACTTTAATGATCAATTCAGTTTTCTATCCCATTCCTTTTCTTCACGCTTTTCACACACATGTTTATTTACTTAGACTCCAATTGTCTACACACTTCATTCACTTAGTGTTACGCAACTTTTATTTTTCCAAGTTTTGACTTATATGATTAGTTTAAAGGTTTACAGCAGCACGCTATACCCATTATTCTTATCATCATTGAGACAGTCACTAATAATACTACTGCTACTGATTGGAATCCCATTATGGCCTAAAAGGGCTTGGTAGCTCTGCTGGTAGAGCACTTAGCCGGAAACCCGACGGTACTGCCTTAAAACCTGCTGCGGTCCGAGTTTTCATTTCACCTTCAATCGTCACCCAGCATCAGTACAACTTGACCAAACCACGGTTGTTTCAAATAGTTAAACTGATGATTACTGCTAATATTATTACCATATGGATATTTACTATTCGCAACCCACAGGCTTAAGAACGTACCATGATTAGTTTAATATTTTATAAAGGAGAAAAATTATACATATTAGAGTAAAGCTTGATGAGATCTAAACGAAAAAGCTAGTCGGTGGATTAATGCAGTGTAATGCGATTTAACAGAAGTAGGAAACTATGGACCATTGAATTCCGACCAAGTGACTCAATGGCTAAAGTGTTCGTTATGAAACCAGAGAGTCTTGACTTCAACACTTGGCGGGGTTCTATCTGCGTACTGCTGAAGAGTAGCACACTAAGACGAAATAGTTGTCTAGTTATTTTCCAACTGGTATCATTTCATGATAAATGCAACCTTGAAGACACTATTGTCCGCTTATACACCTTCTAAATGAATAATATATAAAAATATATATGAAAAAAACACTGTGTTCTGAGAACAAGCTAACCACATAACTGTAACAGGGTGCAGAAGGCGTTTCACCACTTGTAA